TTTAGCTATGTGATTAAAATCACAATTAATTGCAAATATTTTTTTTAAATACGCAACTAATCACAATCAAATTTTTTAATCATTTGACAGTTCTACTTTATACCAATCAGTAGCTCTCAGTAGAGACAGAGACTTGACTAGAACTAAATGCTCGTTTATCGTGATGACCAGCGATCCTGGTTTTCTCTGTTTAAAAATCACAAATTCTCTGGGTTTGTTTGTTGTTTTTTTAAACCCCACAAATTCTCTGATTACAAACCTCAAATGCACATTTTTCCATGATTTGAAATGAAACGCCGCTATAATATATGTAGGCATCAGTTAAACACAATGTTTTATTGATATATTTACAATTTTAAAGCAGTTTGGAAGCCTACCAGCGCCTCAATCACTATAATAAAATAAAATCTAAATACCTATACATTTTGGTATTTGATTTTGGGTTTTTTATCATGGAAGATCAGAACTCCCCCTGCCCCCTTCACTCTCCAGGATGCGGGTCCAGCTGCAGCTGCCCCCCCTCCCCGCTTTGTGATATTGAGCAGCCCTGATATGCCAGTGCCCTGCCTATGCCATTGCCCCTCACTCCCCACTCCCTGCCCTGCTGCAAGGGGCCCCCAGCTGCCACAGCTATGGGGCCAGGGACTTCGGACCACAGCCCTTACCCGCCACAGCAGCATCTGAGCCCTGGCTGCTACCTGTAGGAGGTAGCAGCTGCTGTGGCAGAGTGGAGCCCGGAGCCTGGCTCCCCCTCCCCCATGGGCAGCACAGCTGGAGCGCAGAGCCCATCAGAGTGGCAGAAGCAGGCTTCCTGCTGAGGGATCAGGGCTCCCTGCCCTGCTGCCCTTCCCCCAGGGTCTCTGGGACTCGGCGTGGCAGGGCAGAGAGGGACTGGGCAGGGAAGCCTGTTGCTGCCATTGGGAGTTCCATGTCGCTATGGCGAGGGGCCCAACTCTGTGTTTTTCTCCTTTTAAAAGAGAAAATCCAGGTTTTTCTCCTTAGAATGAGAAAATACAGGTTTTACCATGTTTTTCTATGGTGAACATAAAACCTGGATCCCTGTTGATGACAGTCCTGGGGGTGTACAATAAATGTGCTTTAGTGAGGCAATGTAGTGAACTTTACAGTTGCCTCACAGTTAAATAGAGAACTTGATTCTTTGGTGCTGTTGCTCTGGCACCTTGCGTGGGCTCTGATAGTGAATGTTAAATTTGCTTTAACTGGCAGGTACAAAACAAGCTTGACGGCTGCTGTTATGCTGTGAAACGTATTCACATAAATCCTACCAGCAAGCAGTTCCGGAGAATTAAAGGGGAAGTAACATTACTTTCTCGTCTAAACCATGAGAATATTGTGAGATACTACAATGCTTGGATAGAAAAACATGAGAGCCCCCTCCTAAGTGCATCAACATCAGAAACTACAGGAGAGAAGAAAATCTTCACCAAGTTAGAGCTTAGTGGGAAACTTGAAGGAGAAACTATGGATGAAGTGGAGGCTAATGCCCCTCCCCCTGTTTTGACAAGTTCTATTGAGTGGAGTACCTCCTGTGAAAGATCTTCTAGCAATAAATTTAGTAGAGCTAATCAAGAATCCAGTGATGATGATGATGACGACGACGATGGTGGAGGGGTGTTCTCACAGTCATTTTTGTAAGTAGGCTTTAGTATTGGCATTAAGTGGGTAGTTATTATGGTACATGTTTTAATAATCTATTAAAAGGCAGATTTTCTTTAAATTTCTTACATGCACACTTTAAATTGATGAAGGTTTGCAGCATAAGAAGGAAAAGAAATTCAGTCCTAAGCTTCCAGGGAGGTCTTTCAAACAGTGTCATTGCAGAGTGTAGAACCACTCCAGCTTGTCCTCTTGGAGTTTTCCCAACTTAACAAAAATGTGACATGCTGTCCACATAAATCATTAGTCTTGCTACCACTATAAGACACTAGAAGAAAGAGAACAAAGCTAAGAAGTCCAAGGTGTCTGCCCTGCAAGCAAGCATCTGAGGAAAGTTACTCCTGTAAGTAGTTCCTTTCACGTAATTGCAGGATAAGGGTGTAAGATAGTTTTTTCGAAAAACAGAGTCAAGGCTACTTGCTGAGCACAGACAGTCACATCATGTAGGAAAGTCAATTTAGGTGACAGGAATTGGCATAATAGTAGGAGAGGAAGATCAGATCACTTGATTTTAAGGTAAGGAAAATGGATAAAGCATGAAGTTTCTTTCTCAGACGTTCCCTCCTTTTCTGTACGTGTGCCTTATGTATTTTTTGTCATTGGTGGGATATGGAACTTCTGAAGACGTATTTTTTTAATGAACCTTGAGTAACCAGCAACATAAAAACAGTTTAAAAGTTCTGAAAATATCTCATTTTTGTGCTTTGTGGTTTTAAAAGAACATTGCATAAAACTGTTCCTTTCTGTTTTCACAAGTTTTAAGGATCTTTTCTGGTTTTGTTCATTTTTGAGGTCTTTAGTTACTTTATTAAAATAAGTGAGTTCTTGTCCATAAGGTATAGAAACAAAATATTCCATTTTAAGTACCTTAAATATTTCATTTCAATAATGGTAACCAATGGGACCAATCTCTTATATTTAACCTCACACTTTTGGGTGTATTTTTGTAAGGAATATAAAAATGTCTCTACTCTAAACTCAGATTTTCTACTTTTACAGAAAATAACCTTCTAATACTGTTGCAAAATGGGTGGTTTAACATAATCAAAAAGGCACTTCCTTTGTTTTTTCTGAACAGACCAACCACGGATTCTGAAAGTGAAATCATATTTGATAATGAAGGTGAAAATAGTAAAAGTCCTTCTCTGGTAAATATTATATTACTTAATACTGACAGTGTTTTGGTAAAATAACTTTTGGAAGAGGAGATAAGACTATACATTACAAAACACAGATCTGTCTTGAGCTCAGTCTCTTTCCTCAGTACAGATAGTACACCTTCCAGAGTATCATCCTTGAAAGGCAATAATGCACAGTCTAATAAGCTACCTACTGTAATAATAGAAAAAAAGAAGTGGTGTCTTGGTTATGGGCAGTCTATAATCTTAGTTTCCCCTATCGTGCATTGAATGAAATAGAACTACTCCTTTGTTACTTGTGAGCATTGATTCCTGGAGGTTCAGGGCTTTTATATCTGATTTTTAGTACCTGGTCTCATTTGAAAACTCAAATTCTGTGCTGTTTAATCAAAGTTATTGATTACAAAATAATGACTACTAGCATATAATGACTTAAAAACAAAGTGAGGAGGAGGGTGTTTGTCAGGATGATGTGATGATTTTTTTTTAAAATCCTCTTCCTCACCACTTACTGGGTGAAATCAGTGCAATACATCACTTAAAAACTAATATATCCATTTTTCCTGCAGCCTACAGACCATGGGCTGAATTGGCCCATGGAGCAACATTATCCAGTCTGTGGGCTCCCCCTGGGTCCAGAAATTTGGTGGTAGGGGAGCAGTGGCAATGTTAATTGCCATAGCTCTTGGAGCTGTGGCAGTTAACACTGCTTCTCCTTGTCATGTCACCAAATTTCTGGACCTGTGGGGAGCCCTGTGGGCCAGATGCTGGCCCACACCGTGGACACTAGTGGCCTACAGCACTTAGGATCTCTGGCCTTGGTGGTTATATTTGACCTCAAGTTCAGTTACACTTTCCCTCTTCGTTGATGCTTTTTTGGAACTATATATCGTACATTAATGTAACCTTCAATTCTTAATTTTAATGTTACTGCAGAAAAGCCAGTCACTTTTAGTCACTGAAAAATAGTATATATTTTGTTGTTGTTGTTTGGACTTAAATTTAACATTTACTTTTCTAAATGTTTTGACCATGCTTTATTTTTCCATTAATATTTTTTTCCTTTTCTAACATAAGGCAATTTGAGGTTCAGATTGTTTACAAAATTTAGATGTTGCTTTGTGTTCTTTTAGCCTGTTACTACCAGGGAATAGGCAATATGTTAGCATTTTGAAAATGAGAGATGATTGATGAACATGTTTTGAAGCAGATTTCGAAGCAGTCTTAATGGGTAGAAACATGTGCCATGTGTTATCTGTCGTATTCTCATCAAAATCCAGCCATGGAAAGTCAGATTGCAGGAATGTATTCTGACAATCCAAAATGGTTTTATGGGTGAGGAGCTAGACTTCTCTATGTTTAGCTAACTGTTGTTGTTGTTGTTATATTGTAGAATGAAGAACACAGTGAAAAGAATAGTCACAGTGAAAAAGATAAAGTATCGGTGGTTCAGACGATACACTACCTATACATTCAGGTTAGACATTTTGTGGGGTTACTTAATGGTTGCCACCCTGAACCCCTTCCTTTGCCCGATTTGCTGCTCTGCTTTCTGCCTCCTGTCTTGTGCTCCCTGCCTCATCTGCTGCTCTTTCTGCTTCCTGCCCTGTGCTCCCTACCTGCACTCCTGCTCTGCTTTCTGCCTCCTGCCCTATCAACCCCTGTACTCCCTGTCCCCTTACCCATCTGCTGTGTGCCACACAGAGGCTGCCTGTGCCACTTGTGGCATCCATGCTACAGGTTGGCCACCCCTGTTCTAGCTCAAGTACTGCAGGACATGAGTTAGCACAGCAAAATTTAAAAGTCACATGTGCATAAGCATTTGTTCGGATCAATTCTGAATTACATTACATTAAAAACACACAGTCCAGTTAAGAGAGGACTAATGCATAAATACTTTTTTGAAAGTGGCCCCTAGTTACTAGAGACAGGAATTAATATCCACCTTTTGTGTATATGTAACTCTTGCTTGCCATCTTTACTTGGACTAATTTCCTAATCAGAGCATCACTCCTTTTCACTGTTTTGCAGTCACAGTGTTGCTTATGAACTTATTTCCAATCTTGGGACTTAAATACAGCCTATTAATTTCTAAAGATCATGGTCAGATTGAATAAATGTAAAAGGCAAAAGGTTGAGTAGGGTAGGGTGGCATTTTAGAGACTAACTGGTTCAGAGCTTGGTTTGATGCTGTGAGTGGACTGGCAGAAAAGAAAAGGTTTTATACAGGATGGGAAGGGATAGGAGGAGGGGACCCTGCTCAGAGAGGTAAAGAGTTAAGTTGATTAAATCAGTTGGGATGAATAAAGCAGATCACCTCTTGAAGGATACTGGAGTTAACAGCTAGTCTAGATAATGGACTAAGAATTCATAGTCCCAGTTGAAACTGGTTAACACGAGCCAGTCTGTGGATGATTTCTGTTTATGCAATTTCCTGCTCAAGTTGTTTTTTGAAGTTGTGCATGGTTGTTCTTTTTTTTAAGGATAGCTACTCTGAGGTCATTGATGGAATGTCCTTACAATACAATCCTCAAGCTATAGCCACTCAAATCAACGTAGTTATGACAAGGCAAGAGTCCCTCTGGTTGTCACTTACAGCCTCCAGCTTGAACACCATGGACATCACTAATGAGCTCCAACTCCAGTTGGAGTCAGTCCAGAAATATTTTAAAAACCAGTTTAAACCAGTATTTCTTCTAGATTTGAGGTCCACTGAGTTTTTATTTTTTTATTTTGAAGTCAAGGACAGGTTTCTTTTATAAGAGTTGGAATTTTGGGAGTTGTGCCAATATCAGTAGATGACAGTTCATCATTTTGGTAGATAAAGATTTCACAGAACAACTGAGCTGTTAAATCATATAAACCAGGGGTGTTCAGTCTACAGACCACAGGCCAGATCTGGCTTGTGGATTCATGCCATCCAGCCTGCAGGGGTCCCCAGAGGTCTGAAAATTTGGCAGCAGGGGGAGCAGTGGCACCAATTGCCACTCCCTTGCTGACAAATTTCCAGACCCCTGGAGAGCCTAATAAGCCAGATAACGTGCTAGATTGGTGTACAGGCGTGGCCTGGGGCCCAATTTGGGCGCACAGGCACCTGCCAGAAACAGCTGAGGGCCCCAGGGAAGTGGTACAGGGCATGATCTGGCCCTGCACCACACATCCAGCCCATGGCCCCAAAAAACTGAGCATAACTGATCTACACAGTTTGCTCTCAGCTCTTTTTGTGGTTGTAGAACAGAATAAAGCATTAATATATTTTCAGAGATAAATGTCTTTCATTTTTTTTCTTAACTAAAGCCATTTTTTGTTTTTGCATGTGAAGATGGAATATTGTGAAAAGAGTACATTACGGGATACTATTGACCAAGCATTGTGTGAAGATACCAGTCGTCTTTGGAGACTTTTCCGAGAAATATTGGATGGATTAGCTTACATCCATGAAAAAGTTTGTAAACATGATAGTATCTAGAGTCCTTATTAATTGTCTTGAGTCTGTAAAATAAGTCTTGTCTTGTTTTGTCTCTTTGTATACTCTATTCCATTATTATCCATTTTTTATCTGAAATAGCTTCATAAACTTTAATTTTTAATTAATTGCTGTAGACTTGCCTTAATTAAGCAAATTGTTATGTTTAAAAAAAGGTTTTTACCACTTAAAATTGATACCTGCTAAACTATAGTCTTCAAGCATTATCTCAATAATAATCACTAATTTTGTAGACTGTGTATACAGAGCCAAAAGAGGTCATTACTAATACTGTTTCATAGCCACTTATGAAAGAGAAGTTACATGTATTTAGATAGCTAGGTATGTGTGTAGGGGGCGGGGTTTGGGGGGGTGTACTTAACCAAACACACACATGCATCCAGCCCTTCTCATTCTTCTTCTTTTTTTACTTCATTAACAGGGAATGATTCACAGAGATTTGAAACCTGTAAACATTTTTTTAGATTCTGAGGATCATGTGAAAATTGGTGATTTTGGGTTAGCTACAGATCACCCAGCAAATACAGTAAGTGTGTTAAGTAAAATTTTTTATCATAATATCCAAACAATATCAGAAACTGCATGAGAACATTTTTATTTGATGTAGGAGTAACATGGCAGGAACATATTAAACAAAAGCGAATGCTCATTTGATTTTTAGTGCATAGATCCTTTATTTATTTCACTAGTTAATTTAATTCGACCATATAATTTAAGGCACTTTTTGTGTTCATACCTACACGCACCAAAGAGTAAAATGCATTTCTTACTCATTAATTGGCTTTATCATTGTCTAGAATTGGAGTGGGTGTGTTGTTTGTTTTTTTTAAGTTAAAGCCAAAATTTTCAAACTTGGGAGCCTGTCATATTCTTAAATTTGTGTTCAGGAGTGCAGCCTAATACATAATTAAAATGTTTAATTCTAAATAATTTTCAAAACAAATTACTATATTAATTGCAATCATGAAACTATAAACTGATATCTGAACAAGCCAACAAAAATCTTTTAAATATAGATGTAAAATTTGTCCTCTCCCACCTCCTCCCCCCCATTCCAGGTTGATTCTAAACAAGGGGAAGATCATTCAGACAGCAGTCTCGCTAAGCCTGACCCATCAGGTAAATCTAAAAATTATATATATTTTTTTGCATTTAAAACTAGTTTCAAGAAAAATTTTCCAATGGTTTTTGCTTTGTGTACTTGAACGAGGTGAAATCCTCCAGTCTCTATTGCTGAAAAGGATTATAAAACTCATGCCGTCTCAGTTCAGGTTTATTTTGTTCAAATGCAAATCCTTTTGCATTTGCTATACTAGGAGAGAAGTCCAGTGAGTCTGCAGAAAAATGAATTCACCTTTTTCTCCAAGGTTTACTTCTGTACAGCAGCAGATCCAGGAACACAGCAAGGGGGAGATGCCTTCCCCCTCCCACCCCTGTCCAATCCCCTACACACACACACTGGAGCTCAGAAATATCTGAGCTCACTGTCTTGTCAGTGAGCTGATGTTTGCCCTTCACCTTCCTCCGGCTCCCGCTGAATTCAGCAGCAAGGGAAAGGAGGGGTGGTGACAGATCTCAGTCTTTGTGCTCTGGAACCACATGAAAGCAGGGGCTCCAGTCAGATTCCGTGTCGAGAGCTCATGTGCAGCTTATTCAAAATGGGATGTGACTGTACTGCCTGCCCCCTCTGGATCCACCCTTGCCTCTGTACTTCAGTGAAATTGCCATCTGTGGGATGCATGTGTTCAGAGCTCTCTACATGATCAAGCTGTCTAAACTTCCATCCATTCTGTCCAGCCTGTGCATGTAAAGTGCAATTTTATAACTAGAAGATGCATAGCATTCAGAAGAAAAGAGAATCTTCCAAGTCATGCCAGTTCTTTGTACTAAAATCCTATTTAAAGAATAAGGAAACTATATTTTCTTAACCATTTTGCTGCTATATTCCACAGCAGCAGTTTCTCTTTGAAACTAACATTTTAAGTATGTTTACAGGTAGCTTGACAGGGATGGTTGGCACTGCATTATACGTGAGCCCAGAGGTCCAAGGAAGCACTAAATCAACATATAATCAGGTAATATTAATATAACTTAATAAAACACATGATGAAATCTGGAATACTGTGCAAAATTCTTATCTCCCTTGTTCAAGAAGTATAAATTCAAACTGGAACAAGGAGAGAGATACTACTAGGAAGATCAAGGAAATGAAAAGGCTAAGAAAGCTTGGCTTGTACAGTCTACAAATCAAAGGTTGAGAAGGGCTACACTTGCTGTTGTGAACACAGCAAGGAATTAAACACCAAAAAGGGAGAAGACCTACCATATTTACATAAATGTAAGATGACCCTGTATTTAAGACTATCTGCAATAATTAGATTCTATACATAAAAAAAATCATAAATTTGTTATAATTTTCCATGTATAGATTGATTGTTGGAGGGTTTTCTTTAATTCATCCCTCCCACTGTTTCAGGGGTGGGGATGCAGGTGGTGTGTGTGGGAAGGTCAAGCAACTTGCCCCCTGCTTGTGCCTGTCCTCTGCTACCTCTGCTCCCTACCTGGCCCCCCAGCCTCTGCTTTCCTCCTTCCCTAGCATCTGCTGTCCTCCTCTCCCCCTAGCGTTTGCTCCATGCCAGCAGGCTCCATCCCTGTTCTAGCCTTGGGCACTGAGCACAGTTCCAGCCCAGCCCCCCATATCAGCCCTGAGGGCTGCTCTGGTATTGGGCTGGTGCTGTGCTCAGTACCCCAGGCTGCAGTGTGCATAGAGCCTCTCTGCATAAACTGAAGGTAAGGGAGGGGGAGAGGGGCCCGTGGGGGAATGGGGAGATAGCATGCGGGGGGATGCAGAGAGGCAAACAGCAGCTGTAGCTACAGCCTCAACCCTGCATAGGGGCTAGAGCCCGAGCCATAGTAGCCGCTTGCCCCCCCTACTTAGAATCCATGATTTTAAGACGAGGGCCCCCCTCACATTATACGTGGGGGAAAACCTCACCTTGGAATCAAGTAAATACAGCAATATGTAAGTTTAAAAATATAGTTGGCAAAAGAACATATGAGTATTCACTGATTATATGTCAACCTAATTCTGAAATGAGGTGTCTAACCATCAGAGGACTGGGTTTCTGGAGCAGCTTTCTGATGGGAGCTTGAACACAAAAAAAAAAAAACAACCAACCTCCCTAACAAGCTTGATAGAGAACATTAAGAATTCAAGAAAGATTATATGATATAGTTTGCTACAACAGCAGGGAATTGTACTCCATATCCAGAGCCCGCCCAGTCTTATTTCCTATGGTTTTTTGTGAGTGAATAGTAACAGTCTTCTGTTCTGAGAGACATACCATAAAATCTCTGTATACTAAACTTTGTCTATCTGTAAATTGTCAGGTACAGATGTGACTAAAATGTAAAAGCTTAAAAGCTGAAATACTGCAGCCCTGCACACTAATTTAAAAAATATACATGGTAGCCATTGTTTAACCTTGATTATACAACTAAATTAACTTAACAAATAAAAATCAAGATATTTATTAAAGCTAGAGGGAAACAAAAATTTAATCTTTTTTAAGTCTTGGTCTTGCCATTTTTAGTCTTGCTAAATGTGTTTTGGGTTACTTGAAATAGCTGTAGTACCATGTACGAATGATAGCATAGAACTTACATTGTATGGGGAAATCTAAATGATGAACTATGTTTCTATTAGGAATAATTGCTCTTCTGGACTCCCAGAAGAGAATGGAAAGTAAGTTATTTTTTGTCTATTACTTTGATCATGTCAGAAATAACTATTGCAATTAGTTTCATTACTTGATTTTTTTCTTCCCTAGAAAGTGGACCTGTTCAGCCTGGGGATAATATTCTTTGAGATGTCCTACCATCCTATGAGTACTGCATCAGAAAGGATCTTTGTTCTCAGCCAATTAAGACTTGTATGTATAACATTGTTGCAGCTGTGTCTATCATACTTTAGTGAGTAAGAGGAGAAAAGTGCATAGAATATTGCAAGTAGATGTGCTATATATTGCATCTTGAAAGATTTTTATAGTTGGATAAATGGGAAATTGCATAGCTACCATGGACATTTGAGTTTATCTCACATTAAGGCAGTGAAAGAGGATTGCAGTTGTGATGGTCCAGAAATTATGCCAGAAGCAAGGATTTCTTAGGGTGATATCTTTTATTGGGCCAACTGTACAGTTGGGAGTTAGACAAGTTTTTGAATGTTGTGAGATCAAGGGGGTGGTGTGTTCACTATCTCCAAATTTTCTTCCAGAGGGTTGTTGCCGTAGACAGGTTGGGGACTCGTTTTTTTTTATAACTGGGTAACTTGTCAAAATAGAGACTGTCTTTTACTTTGTATTAAAAACCCCATAAATAATTATAAATAATAGCAGAGTGCTGTCTTGACAATTGTTAATTATGACAACTACATTTTTTGGTTCTGAGTAGAAAAATTTCTAGACTTACTGTCTTCTGTATATATATATTTTAATAAGGTTAGTTCACACAAGTTGGATTCGCTACTGTAATTCAAATGTATTTTATCTTTTATAGCCTACTATTGTATTTCCAGAAGACTTTGATCAAGTGAAACATGCAAAGCAGGTAATTTTACAGTCATTTTAATTAGTAGGTATTCTATATTAAGAAATGTTAATGATTATTTTTCACTTCATTTTAGATTAGTAATCTCTTCCAAATCATTATCACATGACATGAGAACAAAGTAAAAAGAAAACTCAAAAGGATAAAGCAGTTACCACAACTGACGTTACATATACTTAAAACACAAAGGACCAGATCCTATTCTGCCTTTAAGATGTCTTTGTCTTTGCTGCCACTACTCAAAAAGTAAATATCTCACCTCTGGAGTTCAGTCCTGTTCACCCAGGGAGATGTCATTCGCCCATTCTGTCACTGAGCAGCCTAGTGCTCCTGTAGAGGCCAATCCTGTTCCGTCCTTCTTTCTGACGATGAGAAGCCTTATGTGACTCCAAAGATAACCTCTTCTGCCTAGAGAGGCATGTGACTGTCATACTCAATGGAGAGTCTTCTAAACTTCAGTCACATAGATCTAGCTCAGTTTTACTTGCTTAGAAGGGCAAAGCTCAGACACCTCCCTTTCTAAGCAAGTTTGATCCCAAAAAGGTGTCCTAGTAGTTAGAGCACTTTCCCCAGAAGTGGGAGGATCTGTTTTATAGGTCTTCCTCAGGCGTATAGGGTATAAACCTATATCTACCCTACCCCTCAGCCTACAGGCTAGGCAGGGTTGAGGATGTCTTTCATCCCTTCTGTTGAAGCTGGCTTCCTGAGCATCTAAAAATGCAGAAGGTGGCTCTGACTTGGCCAGAGAGAAAGGCACTCTCCAGGGAGGGAGGGAGGTTCTGGCCTTTAGTCCCAGTGCTGTTTGTTGTTAGTGACAACCACTGAACAGCCTCATTGTTGTACTTTTAGGTTTGTGTTTTGCCTGTAGCTCTGCAAAATGCAAACCTGGTGGGGTGTGCTTGGAAAAAGACATACAGCTGTTAAACCACAGATGAGCCCTTAGCTGTCTAAAAGCCAGCAGGTGCCAGTTAGATAGATTCCTTAGAGGCACAATAGGATCTGGACTAAAATTCTCCTATGCAATCATATCTTTTAAGCTGAAATTGAAGCTGTGTTGCATAGCAGTTAGTCTAGCCTTTGTTTCAAATGCAGAAAATGTCACAGAAAAGAAGAAATGTTTGTGAGGTAAAATTATTGTTATAAGTTTGGCCCAGCTGCAGTGGCCACCAGAGGTTCATTTTGGCAGTGGAGACATCTGGAGCTCAATGGAGTCATACACCATCTTGGGATTTTTTTATATTCCTCCCCCTACCCCTTCTCAGCCGGGTCTTTATTCTGTTAGCCAGGAACAGGGTGCTGTACAATCGTTATGCCAGGGGTTGGCAACATTTATAAGCAGAGTGCCAAAATCACCTGCAGACTTGACTCATAAAATGTTGGCATGCTAGGGGTGGACAGTGGGGGAGCTGCAAGGGGCCCAATTCTTGTTGTGTCAGCATAGCCCTTTCCCCTTCACTGCTGTCTGCCCTGAGGTGTGCATCCCAAGCAAAATGCTTTCACATGCCACACTAGCACCCATGCCAGGGGTTGCTTACCCCTGGTTATGCACTCCTCTTAGGCTGGCCATATGGAAATCTGGGACATTATCTTGGAAATGTGGGACGCCACCCACTCCCCATCCCCTCAAGTCTCTCAAGTCAGTGGGGGCGGGCTGTGTGGAGGGCAGAAAGTAGTGTGTGCCTGCAGGGTACTTCATGCTGCTCTGATTCCCAGCCAGTGTGTGCCCCACGCCCCTTTGTTTCTGGGGCGCCAATTATAATTCCCAACAGCCAGCCAGGACCAGCCTCTGAAATCTGGGGCTGTCTCACCTGAAACAGATCATAGAGTCTCCTCTACATAATCTAGAAATGTCCATTATCCCAGGGCAATGGTCCATGGCCTGGCTTTGTGGGAGGGAAGGAGGTGTGGTCCAGCCTCAGAGTTGGGTGAATAGCCTGGCCCCACAAGGGGAGGGGACATAGCCTGTATCTGACCAGGCACACGGGTTTTGGGGTTTGAGAATTTGGCAGAAGGCAAGGTGGCCGTATTAATGTCCACACTTCCCTGCTGCCAAATTTCCTGACCTGTGGGGAGCCCCACAGGCCAGATGCAATGCCTCCATAGGCCACATTTGGCCCCTTCCTTTTTTCCTACCATTTCTGCTAATTGGTGGAATGGGTAAGTGAGTTTAGCATTAGGATGGGGAGATTTGAGCCACCACTGGCAGACCCCTGGCGAACCTAGAGCTCTGACAGCAACACTATCAGTTGTGGCAGGGTAAGGAGAGTAGTTCTTCCTGCCCCTTTCCATTCTTACAGGGTGAGAGAGGTCTGTGGTAGCTGCTGCTTTTGAGCAGCTGCCGACTAATCACTAACAACCTACCCCATTCCCCAGCAGAGGGGAGGGCAGGCTATCAATTGCTGGGTCCCTTAGGGGCAGGGTTATTCAACAAGCAGCTCCTGGTTGCCCCCTGGCCAGAAAGAGTTTGCTTTTGAGGTGACTTGGTAGCCCTTTAGCCAGAAAGCTGGTATGCTTGTATGCCCCCATCTTGCTACATGTTTCTAATGATGCAGATCTCCTGGACTTTTGCAGTGCTGCCATTAAATACCTGTCCCTAGCCTAAGATTTTTGTTTTCATTGTATCTATAGTTTAAGAATTCTTGTGGCATTTTTTACTAGACAGTCTGTGGTCTCTTAATCGGTATACTAATCATCGTTTTGTTGAAGTTTTTCCATCTTTTTTCCAGTTATGATACCATTACCTAGCACCCTAAGAGCTGTGACTGAAGTAATGAATTTTTAGTGGTGTTTATATACTCTGCTACTGTATCAGTAAAATGTATTAAAATAATGAGAGAACTTTTTTTTACAAGATTCAATATTAGCTTTCTCTATGGAGCCCCTAATTTTACTAACCTGTAACTGGTAATGCCGTCTTAAACATTCCTGCCATGCCACTTTTGATAAAAGTTAACATGATGCTGGGTTTTTTTTTGTTTAATTTGTAGAGATTGGTTATTAGTTGGCTTTTGAATCATGATCCTGCAGCACGGCCAACTGCCATGGAGCTACTAAAAAGCGAACACCTCCCACCTCCCCAGATGGAGGAGTCTGAATTGCATGAAGTACTTCACCATACCTTAGCCAATGTTGATGGGAAAGCCTACAGGACTATGATGAGTCAGATATTTTCACAACGCATCTCCCCAGCAATAGACTATACCTATGATAGTGATATGCTAAAGGTTAGTTTCAAATTGATTTTTTTTTTTAATCGCTCCAGCTAAAAAACTATAGATATGATAAGGCTGAAATCCTGCCTTTCATGGTCATTTCTAACAATGATTAATATTTCCACTTGGGTCCATTAATAAACTGTTAGATCAGGCTCACTGTTCTGATGTGTTCATTTAATTCATAACTTCTCTATTTGACAATCATATATTTGAATGAAAACTTAAACTTTGTCTGACTATGGGAATGTTTGCTTCCTATTCTTAATTTTTATTACATTAATGGCACTTGTATCTGAGTACCAATAGAATATATTTGTTTTGGGACATCACCGTGTCATACCCTTTCAGATCAGCCCTTTTAATGATAACAATTAAAACTTGTTTTTCTAAAATACTTTGTAAAATATTTCTAAACTTATTTCATGGTTTTTTTTCTTGTGTGTTTTTAATTACTAATGAACATATAAAAATAGTGACTGTATTTGCAGAGAATGACAGAATATATATCATTGGATACAGTATCCACTGTGGCTTGCTCTGGTCGTTTACCTTATTTACTCAAATTATTATAAGACACCCCCCCCAACAATTACAATCTGTATATGGAAAATATATACATTTGCATAATTTTCATATGTACAGTGTATTGGAGGTTTGCTCTTAATTTGTTCCCCTCCTACTGCTACAGCAGGCAAGATAAGTTTGGGGGGGTCTCTGCCCCATGCATACTATTTCAAGCCATGGTGACCCCGTAACTCAGCACTGCCCAGTATATGTGTGGACTCCAGATACCCACCACAAAGGCTAATTAGCCCATGTTTATGACTGGTGTTCTTGTCACGAATCCTGGGATCCTCTAAAAATGTGTATGCAGATGAGATGCAGAATAACCTGGGGGGTGGGGTTGCACTGATCATCAGGGATCCTGGTTTTCTCTGATAAAAAATTGCAAATTCTCTAATAAAATTCCTCAGATCTGCGATTAAAATTAAATGCCACATATATATCAATTAAACATAATGTTTTATTGATATATTTACAGTTTTAAAGCAATTTGGAAGCCAACCAGTGCCTCAATCACTATAATAAAATAAAATAAATTGGTTTTGGGATTTTATTATCATAACAAATCAGAGTTCCCCTGCCCCCTTAGCTCACAGAACACAGGTCCAGGCCCCTCACTCCCAAGCCACAGCCCTGCTGGTGCCCTTCACTTCCCCCGTCTTTGTCCCCCACTCCGCCCTGACGGAGGGGGCCCCCAGCTGCCAGGGTTACGGGGCCAGGGACCCAGGTCCAAAGCCCCCTGCCCCCTGCAGCAGCACCCAAAGCCCAGCTGTCGCCTGTGGGAGGCAGCAGCTGCTGCAACGGAGCACAGAACCTGGCCCCCTCTGCCCCATAGGTGGCATGGCTGGAGCCAGAGCCCATGGGTGCAGAGGTGCAGGCTGCCTGCTATGGGCTTGGGGGGGGGGGGCTGGCTCCCCACCACTGTGTACACTCCTGTTGGAGGGCTAGAGGGGACCCGTGCCCCGCAGACCTATGCCCCCCAGATGAGTGAGGGCTGCCCACTGCAGCCTTGGGCTCCCTGGCCTGCTTCCCTTCCTCGCAGCATCCACAGCCCAGCAGGTGGGACCCTGTGCAGCAGGGCAGAGTAGGGTAGCCATCATGGAGGACATTCCGATTTTCTGCTACTCTGTGCTCTATTGATACAAAACCCAACGCCTTTATTTCCTCTGTTTTTCTCTTCAAAAATGGAGGAGTCTGGTTTCGTATCGACAGAGGACAGAGGATAACCGGACTGTCTTCTATGATGGCCACCCTAGGGCAGAGCGGGGCTGGGCAGGGAAGCTGGCCACTGCGAGCTCTGTGCTGCCCTGGTGATGTGTCCCCTGCCTGCCCCAGCAGCAGCAAGGGGCACTACTCTGCGCCTCTGCCCTTGCTGCTGCCAGGCAGGCAGGGGGTGCTTCACCAGGGTGATGTGGGGCTTGCAGCAGCAAGCAGCTTCCCCACCCAGCCCTGCTGTGCCCTGCCATACTGAGTCCTGCTTGCTCAGCTGTGGAGGCTGCAAAGAAACAGGAATTATTGAAAGGCACAGCTCAGCTGTGGGAGTGAAGAGGAAATCTAAATATACGCAGTATAGTGGCTCACTGTGACTTGAAAAAGAGCATTGGTAAGGACTACATGCAATGGGCATTAGTCTTATTCAGATGGACTGCATTAACCTATCCTTTGCTTGCCTAATGTGTAGGGACCTACTGAAATCATGGTGGAAGTGGGCTGTGAGGCAGCTCTTTTAATTTTCCAGATTCCCCCATGTCCCCTCCTTGCCCTCCCATTGCTGATTGCCTTAGGGGCCCCAGTGGCTCTGCTGCTTGTTGCTGACTGACTGGGAGGGAAAAACCATATTTAAAACCAGTTTTCGCCTCCCTGCTGATCATAAGTGCATGGCAGGGCTCCTCCGCCAATTGTTGGAGGAGAAGGAGGGAACATACAGGGGAGCCTGCAAAATTAAAGGAACTGCTGCTCAGCCCACATCCACCATGAATTTGGTAGGTCCATACTAACATGGGCCAAGTATTTTACAGTCATATTCAGTGTTGGCTTTATTTTAGTCAGCTTCATAGTTGATTTGCATTACTGAGCACATGCTGCTTTAGGCAGCAGTTTAAGGGATAGACAGTGTATTTAACAAGGTTTCATTGTATGCAATTATAAGATGAGGAGCTTTTTTCACCCATGCTGATTGGGGGTGGTGGGGGGAGGGACCTCATCTTATATTTGAGTAAATACAGAAGTCCATATGGTGATTTCTGCATCTAAGTCTGTGTATAAGTGCTACTTCTTTAAAGGGATTTTTGTTTGCAGGGTAGTTTTTCGATTCGGGCAACTAAGATACAGCAGCACGTGTGTGAGACTGTCAGCCGGATCTTTAAAAGACACGGTGAGTTTATTTACAAGCGTTCCTTATTTTTTGCCTAAGGCATAACTTTATATATAAGAGATGTAGAGAAGTCCCTTATATAGGGACTTTTGCCAGTACAGTGATTTCAGTACTAACGAATTAGACACAAGGTTGTATTGACCAATAGATGCACATTGTTGAGGTTTTAAAACTTTTTTTATTTTTATTTTTACATATGAGAAACTGGCTTTAAATTTCAACTCTTATGTGGGCAATGCTGAGGTTTTCAGATCTTAGTCTGTTTAAGTCCCATGTCTTTCAATGTATACTGAATTGTCTATTCTGATGACCAACACTGCAAAGCTTTTTAGAGTAGGAGTTTCTTTATAAGTATTATTTAGGTGACTGCGTAACACTAGTGTCCAACCTTCCAGCCTTCCGGGCCACATGAGTGGCATAGGATTGGGCTGCATGCTGGATCCTATACAGGGTCAGCACTTGGGGTCTGTTCGCAGCTGTGATTTCCACGTGCCCCAGTCTGGCCACAGAGTAACCCCTTGCACCTGCCCAACTTCATGCTGTTATGATCTAGTGTGCAGGCCGACAATATCCAGCTTTCAGAGCTCCCCACGGGTTTGGAAATTTGGCAGCAGGTTAGTGGCAATTAGCGCTGCCACTGCTCCCCTGCTGCCCAATTTCCAGACCTGTGAGGAGCTTGTGGGCCAGAGGTTGAGCCCTGCTGATGTAGATTAAAGCCAGGTAGCAATAGTTAGTATTTCCTTAATAGTAATTTAAGCAAAGAAACAAAGTCTGGGATCTTTTACAAGCACTAATACTATTTTACCAATGTTGTGCAGGAGCTATCAAGTTACCCACCCCACTGCTAATGCCTAGAAATAGGAAACTGTATGAACATAATGAAGCTTCATATTTCATGGATCACAGTGGGATGCTGGTGATGCTGCCTTATGATCTCAGGGTAAGTTGTGTACTCTTCATATTTTAAGCTGGGTTTGGGAAATTGTTTCTGTTGTTTTCCTTGATTTGTGCATCAAGATTTTGGAACAGGATTCCCCTTTTACCTTACCGTTACCAGAGACTTTGTGATGCAGGTACCTTCCTATCTTCCCTTGGATGCAGTTTTCCTGCTTTGATGACCATTTGATCAAGTAGGGAGGGAGGACAGGAAAAGGGCCACTTGAGAAAAGTAGCTCATACGAGCTCTACTTTTTTCATCATGATCAAACTATAGTCATAACTCCAAGGAAGCATGTCCAGTCAGATCTGTGCCTGCATTTGTCTTTAGTAGTAACCATCCCAATGAACCTCCGAGTAGAAGAAAAACAAATTACTGAAAAGTGCTACTGCTTTTTCTATTCTAAAAAACTATATTTAAGAAAAACACCTAATTAATAGATATGGTGTGTGACAGTGTTAAGGTTTGGTTTTGTTTTCCCTTCACATGCACCTATGTGAGGAAAAAGATTTCATTCACTCGTTTATGGTCCATTCCTTCACACATATAACTCGGGATAATAATGTCCTCTACTCTTTTGTTTACCATATATATGTACTGTACCATATGTATGTATGCATTGCTGTTCCTGCAGCAGCACTCACAACTGCTCTCAACAGATCCTTAGTGATGCTGTTTCAGAGGAAGACTGCAGGCTGGTCTACAGTATGCAAGTAGAATTACTGTCACCATCCCCTCCTTCCAGTCAGATCATAGATTTTCTCCAATGCCGCTAGGCAGTAACTGCTGTAGATGTCAGATACATAATTCAGTTTAGCCTTTTGTGGTTTAGTTGATCATTTTACAAAAATCAAGTATAAAATGACACTTTGCTAAATTGGCTATGAAACTAAAGTGACGAGATATTTCCAGATGACCTTGACTTTTTATAGTGAAAGTAGGGACATTTTTTTTTCCCTGCCTGTGAAAGCTACAGCAGAAAAGAGGCTTCTCTGATGAAGGTCCAAGGTAGAGGGGTTGTGTACAGGTTCCACCTGCCCATTACAGTCCCTTTTTCTCTCCTCTGACAAGGTCTGCCCTTTACACAAGATGGTTCGTTCTTTGCTGAGACTGGACGGTTTGTCATCTTGAAATGTTCGCTTTTGTGTGTCGTGTGTACATAGCAGTTCCAGGAACCACATCATCATCATCATCATCATTATTATTATTATTATTATTATTATTATTGATGATGATGATGATCATAATTTGCCTACTGCAGAACATCACAGTTGCTTATCATTCTAGAACAGTACACTGTGTAGTATCAGATTGCATTTTTTAACTGTGTCCTTGTCAGTTTTCTTTCTTCCTCTGTAATTGTTATCCAAATAGTTCTTCACAAAATTCTTTTTTCCAGCTTCTGCTTGATTGCCAGCTTACACTTCTGTAAGTAGAAGTGCAGGCTAGAAGCCTTTAAAGCAGGGATGGGGAACTCCCAGGCCACTGGCTGGATGCGGTTGGCCAGGGACTCCATTTCCCAGCCGCCCCTGCCTGCACAGCTTGTGTTGGGCACCATGGAGACCCCAGCCTCAGCCACGCCAGCAGCATGTGCAGCAGATCAGTGCAGGAGGCTGCTCCAGAGCTGCTGGGATCTTGCAGCGGGACAGCTTGCTCCAGAGCAAGGGCAGAGCCACAATCTGTAGCCTGCATGCTCCAGGCAGGGACATGCATGCAGGGAATCATGGCTCTGCCCCGGCTTCTTCCAGCAGTGACTCCCTGTCTGGATCCGGGGCAGAGCCATGATTCCCTGCATGCATGCCTCTGCCTGGAGCGTGCAGGCTACAGATCGCGGCTCTGCCCTGGCTCCGAAGCAAGCTGCCCCCGCCACAAGATCCTAGTAGCTCTGGAGTAGCCCCCTGTGCTGCTCTGCCATGCCTGCTGCTAGCATGGCTGAGACTGGGGTCTCCATGGAGACTGGCACAAGCCGTGCAGGCAGGGGCAGCTTGGAAATGGAGTCCTTGGCCACCTGCATCCAGCCTGTGGGCCAGGTGTTCCCCATCCTGCTTTAAAGTGTCTTTCTTCATAAATGGTAGGTAAAAAGTCTTATTTTCCCCACTGCTACACTACTTTTAAGCCAGTGTGATACCACTGGAATAAAAGGAAAATCTAAGTATCTGATAGGCAGGGCCCTCATGGTCTTGGTCTTCTTGCTGGAAGCAGTGATTCCTGAGGATGTTATGGACCCAGCAGCACTGGCTTGGTACTGCAGTTTATAACTTCCTGATACATCACTGGGAACTGAGCATGGCTACTTCTTTTGGATAGTGCCCTGTATTTGATTTTTGGGTGCAAATCTTGTGCTTCTCTCCCCATGTCTGCGTAAAGGATGAAATAGCATTTTCCTAGAAAATACATCTAAGATACTTGCAGCTACTTAAATACTTTTAGAGACTATTACAGATGGGAGGATAAAGGGGTAACTGTATAGTGTATAATTCCATGTTATTCTAAGAGCACAAGTCGGAATGAAGTTGTATGTGTAAGCGTGTATGTGTGTGTATACACACACATATGTGTATGTATAATGTAATATCTCAACCATCTTTTTGTGTTTACAGATTCCTTTTGCAAGATTTGTAGCTAGAAATAGTATATCAAACTTGAAAAGGTAAGGGAAATGGCTGAGAGGGATAATACCTATTCATCCTAAAAAGGTTTAACATTTGTCCGTTGCTCACATAACTGTTCAACACAATGACTGCTCTATATGTATTTATTTATCCTTTTGTTTTTTGTAGGTATTGTATAGAACGAGTTTTCAGGCCTCGGAGATTAGATCGTTGTCACCCCAAAGAACTCCTAGAATGTGCATTTGACATTGTCACTTCCACTGGAAATACCTTTTTACCTATTGCAGAAGCAATCTATGCCATTTCGGAAATCATCCATGAATTTCCAGTTCTGCAGGTTGTTCCTCCACTCTGCTCTGCTGACTAGTATATTGTTTTTCTTTAGCTACTTTTATGATAACGTGTTGTTTTGTTGGAGAGGAGACCATAAATAAGGCAATATGCCAGCAAAGATGACTACTAAGAGAGACAATTTTTATCTGCCAATGAAAACATTTTTGTGTTTTGACTTCTGATAAAAATTGAAAACTGAATCACTGTGACTGAAAAATGTTTTGCAAATTATATTTCCAGTGAACAGTAAGTTGTTTTGCAAAGGATGTCACAGTAGAACACTTGAAATATAATGGCTCTCTTCCTTCAAGGGAATGTTTCTCTTTTGATTCTGATACTGAAGTTGGTGTTAAAAAAGGGCACAAATTTTACCAGCTCTGGACTGTACAGAGGGGAAACTAAGATAACAGGGAAGTTCAGAATTAGTCTCGGTAAAAGTGAAAAGTTATTTTACATTTTGAAATGCCCATAAAATATTGTATTTTTCCTCTCTTCTCTTAGGAAAGAAACTACAGCATCTACCTAAACCACACTGCCTTATTGAAAGCTATACTCTTGCACTGTGGAATACCAGAAGATAAACTCAATCAAGTTTACATCATTCTGTATGATGTTGTGGTAAGATTAGTGACAAATGCAAAATTTAGTTTAAAAATTCAAATGTGGAATGCTTAATAAAACATTTCATTCATTTTTTCCCATTGGTTCATATTTTTCAAATGTGGGCTGAAGCTGACTTTCACTGTTCAACTTTCTGACATCTTGGTACCCCTCCATTCCCCAGGTTATTAAGTAGTAGTCAGTCCCTCTGTAAAACAAGTGTACATGGTATAGACCTTCAGGGTGGCTCTAGAATAGATGTTGTTCCAGTCATAGCATTGCCTTCCTTGCACGATGAAGACATTGCAGCATGTCCATGGGCTGCACCTGCATAGGATCGGTTGTCAGGAAGAGGAAAAAAGGAATAACAGTTTGCACTGTGGTCGCTGACCAGCTGGGGGAGCTCTCACTGGTCAGCAGCACCAATGAAATAAGTAAATGACTCTACTAAGTTCACTGTGGCAGGGGTGTCTTTACTCATCTGCTCTGTTTGCATGGGGAGTGGGGGCAGTGTTGCCCCAGGATTCCTTTTACCACAGACCCCTAAGGATTGACATGGCCCCTTGTCCAGTTTGGTAACAAGTGAACTTTATTTAGTAACCCCTAGGCTCATTACAAGTATTCTTCCTTGTAATAGGACCTGGCAAGCAGTTCTTTAGACATAAAAGCAGCGACCTTCAGTGGTACCAGCCTCAGATCCTCTGCTGGGTGTGTGGGATGTTAGTTTCTGAATTCCTTGTTACTCAAAGCAAGAATTCCAAGTCTGCTCCTGTCTTGCCAGGGTAGCAACATAAACACACACTGTCTCTTTGTTTGTCCACTACATTTGTAACTTTCTCATCTCAAACTGTGCAATCCTCAAATGTCTTACCTCATCTTTTTAGATAATATACTCCAATCCTATTCCATTTTTGGTTTTCTTTCCTTTTAGGGAAACTACTGTGTGGCAGAAAGCCACCTTGGTTTCTCCCCAAAAATCTCTGCCCTGTGACACTGTGATTTAAATCTCTGTGCTGTGACCATTCAATTAGGATGGGCCCAGCACACGGGACCACACCCTCAGCCTGTCTCTTTAGGGAACTTGAGCTGGCTGCATTCCTGAGGGAGGGGGAAACCTGCTCCCTCTGCTTACGTGACTTGCATCACTTACCTGGGTAAGGGGTTTCTACCTGGGGAGCTGGAATCTGCCCGGTAACAGGTGATGCATTTCAAATTGGTTGGCTTACAGCCAACTGGGGCTGACCTCCGCTGGCCCAGGTGAATGAGGTCACAGGGGCTATATAAGTTAGGACGGGGAAGGAGGCGGTCTCTCCTCTCCGGCCATGAGGTGACGCAGCAGCCAGGCAGGGGACAGAGAAGCCTTAACATCTGAAACTGGCTCTCTCCCCCCAAACTCACGAGCTAGGAACCGCCTGCCTCCAAAGGGAAACTTCACCTGCCTTTGGAAGATGCTTGTGAGTAAGCTACTCAATCTGATTAGATATTTAGCTGGAAGTATAACAGATGCGTAATCAAAAGGCTACCACAGCCAGACTGTTTGCTCTTTAGGATTTCTAGATATTGCTCTATCCTGTACCCTAGTTTACCCTACCCCCTGTAATCAATAAAGTTCTCCTTTTTGACTGGTGTGGGAGACTTATTGAGGGGTGGGTCTAAATTATGCCTAAGAGACCCCTTAGGTCTGTGGACTAAGGGAGACTATACCTTTTTGCCCCCGGACTTGGGGAAGTACCCCAAGTGCCTGTACTGGGTTGAGTACCCGTGGGACTTTAGGCCTGTGTTACCCCAAGGACACAGGGCCGCGAGACAGTCCATTCTTGGGGTGGTGGCGGCACGTTACCCCCAGACCAGCGAGTGCTCCGGGAGAGGGGTCAGCCGGACATAAGGCGCCCCTAGGGAGGCATTCGGAGCATGGAAGGTGGTCGGGCGCAGGGAGGTGGGTGGCTCAACGCAGGAGCACCCCCTACTGGCCCGCCTCACGTGGTGGAAACAGCGGAGGGATACGAATACCCAGCTGTGTTCCTGAGGTGGGATCTCTGCACCCGCCACATACTGTACCTGGTTAGGCCACCATACCAATCACAGCACTCATTTTTCCCAGTGCCTTATAAGGTACTTCATACAATTTAATTGCTTAGATCCGGGAAGGCCTAAAGTTATGCTAAGAGCCTGAGCATAACTCAGTTTGCCCGCTACAGGCAGGGCATGGTATTTCTGCTGAGTGGTGCTGAGTAGGAGGAATGAACCTAGGGCCCAGAACTATTCTAGAGCAGGGGTTTCCTCCACGTTCTTTTGCAGAGAAGTTTACACTGGAGAGGAGGTAATGTACCCAGGGATGCCGGAGGGCCGGCAGATTGCTGTTACGCAGTGTATTCCTTGCTACATGTGCAAATGTATAGCTGGTTGTTATTCAGCTTTAAGTTGTTACACAAATTGCCAATTGCTCAAATCATGAGTGAGACTTAATAAAGGCAAGGTGCTGCATTCATTGATGACATGAGTTAGATATAGAGGTTTGGGCACACTATTCATACAAACACACGTGGATCATCATGCACATCATTACACACAGGCATACACATACACAAGACAACTATTTCATCTACACATACACCAGATATAGTTACCAGCAGTAGTTGCTCAGTATCAGCCCAGGGTGGCCAACCTGGGCTTATTGAGTAGATGATGATGATTTGAAGATAGCAGATTTAAAGATAACAGCTGGAGCGGAGTGAACAGATGCATCTGTGCTCCAATGAAACAACAGTAGAGAAAGAGACTCACCCAACTTGGCATTTTCAAAGTGTTCTTTTATAGGGATTGGCATCCTTTGTTTCAGTGCTTTGGGTTTTTTCGATACCCAGCTTTTGTTTTTGTGGTTGTTCTTTTTTTGTCTTCAGCTTATCTTAGCATTGGAATGTTCTTGTTGCCCATCTTGCAGAATTTTTTCTTCTGTTATTTCCTTTGTGCCCTCAAGCTTCAAAGAGATTCTTCAGCTGTTTGTTAGTTAGTTACTGGCTGGTAACTTACATTTGGCGCCTTGTTGCTTACATACACAGTTAAATCTTCTTCTCCCATCTCTGCCATTCTTTCACCATTCACTCTTTTGCACACACTTATACATAAAGGCTATGCAGAGTTCGTTCACTTACATCAAGCAGAAGGATACAAAATGGAGTTTTCAAGTTGCTTACAGGACAAAACTAACATGGTTATATTTTACTTTTACTACACTCTATGTTAACATCAGCTACATTAGTTCAGTTCATGCTACAAAGTTACTACATATTTTCGAGGTTTAACTTTATAGCTTTGTGGAGCTTTTAATAGTGTGGTAGGTGCTTTTCACATGTAGCTGGTCTCAGTTAATTGTGCAGTTAACTAGTTAATTGCACACTAACTAACATGTAGAGGGGGCCTCACTGTCCAGCATAAAGTGCTATACTGTGAGTTAGGTGCACTCTGTTCTAGCATACATATAACATATCTGATTTTAATTTAGTTCTGACTCTACAGATATACTGAGCAGAAAGGAGAGTTAAAGAATGTGTTCCTGTTATTTAAACAGTTTCATATTTTTCATAGTTTTTGCTATTCACGTTGCTCAGTCAGATGAGAGAAAATGGACTGAACTTCATATTATAAATGCTAGAGGGATGTTTAAATACCTACAAGAGCTTTCCATATTGGCTTTTACAAGCTCATATAAATATTTGTTTAGCATTAATTTCTATTAAAACTTTTAGCAAAAGTTGATTTTTTATTTTTTTTTTGTATGAACTTTTTTGTTGTAAAGTGACCAAAGTGAAAGTGGTGGCATTCAGAGACAAATACGGGACTTCAGTTTTGCCGTTCTTACAGGGAGGTTTCAGAGGGTTATTGCACTTTTGAAGAAGACATCTTAAAAGGAGGAAAAAAACCCTTAGGAGTTATGTCTTAATCCTTGTCTCCAACAATTTGATAAATACTTTTTTTATCAAAATTGACTTTTTTGAAAGCTGCTGATGCATGATGATTTGTTTTGCTTTAGACTGAAAAGCTAACTAAAAGAGAAGTGGAAGCCAAATTTTGCAATCTTTCTGTGTCACCAAATAGTGTAAGTATTTCAATTAAGCTTTATATTTCCTGACAGCTTACTGTAAATCTGTGGTACCTTAATTTCCATAAAACCTCTACTAAGACCGTGCAGTCCCTGAAGAGAAAAATGCCTCTCTCTATTGCAGCTAGAATTATATTAGTCTCTTTGCTGTTTTATCACTGTGGGAAGGGTCCACTATCACCCTGTAACAGCATTCCTGTTTTCCAGGTTTTTCCCATGTTTTGAATATTAGTGTTTCAAATTATGCAAATGTTTGGAATTAAATAAAACATTGTGAATTAAAATCTCTGTAAGAAAAATGGTGTGTGGTGTTCTAAAATCAGATTCTGCAAAATTAGATGCATAGCTATAAAGCCTGGGTGGAGATAGACCTTCACCTTCCAACTTTCAGACATTCTGTGTGCGCTCGAGTTAACTAATAAAGTAGTAGACCTGTGTGCAAAACAAGGAAAAATAATAGATTTCTCTCTGTCCCATCCCAAGTTAGGTGCTGTGGTTGGATTCCTCTTGTTCAAGTATGTGTATAGCATTATCTTTTTCAATTTTCAGCTTTGTCAACTGTACAGATTCATTGAGCAGAAGGGAGAGTTAAGCAGCATATTCCCAACTCTAAACACAATGATAAAACGAAAAACAGGTGTCACACAGCTGGTGAAGCATGGCATGAAAGACTTAGAGGAAGTCATAAGTCTCTTAAAGCAGTTTGGCATAAAACTTCAGGTTTGTTTGTTTGTTTGTTTTTAAAGAATTCTGGTTAAATTGATTGATTTATAAATTTGGAAACAGAATTGCTCTTCCTAAACATTTCCCTAGGAACCAAACCGCTCATAACCTTGAGCACAGAGCAGGTGCCATCAACTTGTGGGACTGTGTAAGTTGACTATTAAAAATGACCCATTTCTAGATCGACAAGGTTCTTAGGGTGAATCTGGTATCTTTTATTAGACCAACTTAAATAGTTGGAAAACAATTTTTAAGCAAGCTTTCGGGTTCAAAAACCCTTTGTCAGGCTGAGGAAGTTTCAGCAATTGGTGTGCACTCTTCGTGGATGGAATGAAAAGTAAAGAAGCCAGAGGCTGGGCTAGTATACATACAAGACAGGCAGTCACTGAAGATGTAGATTGAGGAGTCAATCTGGGTGTGGGGAGAGAAGGGGAATGAATAGTGGAGAAGTACCTGGGGAGTCAGATGTCAGGCAGGTTATATATAATGTGTCATAAATCCAGTGTCTATATTTAGTCCATGATTTTTAGTGTCCAGGAGGTTGATGAAGTAGAGTTCATAGGCTCATCTCTGGGAAATGTTTTGTAAGCTTCCTTTGAGGATCAGGACTGAGAGATTGGGGAGAGAGTGGTTTTCTTGTGAGAAATGTGCCCCACAGATATTGGGTATTCCTGTCTTTAACAGATTTCTGGTGTGTGTTCATTCTGGTGTGCAGTTGTTGTTTGGTCTCTCCTAGGTATTTTCCATCAGGGCATTTAGTGCATTGGATGAGATATATTACATTTCTGGAGGTGCAGCTGATGGCTCTGTTGTGGGGTGTAGTAATTGTGGGTCTGGTGGAGATGTGTTGGCAGGTTTTCCATGTCTTGTCATGGCATGGTCTGGATCCATTTGGTATGTTCTGGGCCTGAGGAAGTTTGCTTCTGGTGATGAGGTTAACGAGGTTCGGTGCTTGTTTGAAGGCTAGGATGGTTGGCTCTGAGAAGATCTCTTTAAGAATAGGGTCTATTTCTAGTATGGGTTGCAATTGTTAGAGGATTTTCTGTACGCGTTCAAGGGAGGGGTGACATGTCATAACCAGCAGTGTGCAATTTGTGGGGGGTTTTCTTCTGTACTGCAACAGTTCTTCACATGGTATCCGGGTGGCTCTTTCAAACGTGCAATCTATCTCTCTGGAGGAGTGTCCTTGTTGGGAGAAAGCTTTTTTAAGAATTGTGAGGTGGCAATCCCGGGTGTTCTCTTCAGTGCAAATTCAGTGGTGTCTGAGGGCTTGGCTGTATATCACAGCTTTTTTGGTGTGTTTAGGGTGATTGCTGGTTCTGTGCAAATATGTATGTTGGTCTGTGGGTTACTTGTATAACGTGGTCTGTATTTTGTCTATCTGGATACTGATCATGATGTCTAAAAAGGAGATATTGGTGCTGGAGTATTCTAGAGAAAGTCGAATGGAGGGATGGTAACTGTTGAATTTCTGATGGAACTCAATCAGAGATTGCAGGTTTTCAGTCCAACCCTTTTCAGTTTTTCAGTCCATCAAATTCTTGCTATACTTAAGATATATTGATGACATCTTCATCATTTGAACTGAAAACCTGCAATCTCTGATTGAGTTCCATCAGAAATTCAGCAGTCACCATTCCTCCATCTGACTTTCTCTAGAATACTCCAGCACCAACATCTCCTTTTTAGATACGATGATCAGTATCCGGAATGATAAAATACAAACCACGTTCACTGACTGCCATCTTCACGGACTGCCCGTCTTGTATGCAGACCAGCCCAGCCTCTGGCTTCTTTACTTTTCATTCCATCCATGAAGAGTGCACACCAACTGCTGAAACTTCCTCAGCCTGACAAAGGGTTTTTGAACCTGAACGCTTGCTTAAAAATTGTTTTCCAACTATTTAAGTTGGTCTAATAAAAGATATCAGACTCACCCAAAGAACCTTGTCTACCTATGTCCTTAGGCCAACACGGCTACAACCTACACCCCCATTTTTAGATCTGCACTTTCACTTTTATTATGAATTAGAGGATGCTCTTCTTAAAATAATTTAGATCTAAATAACTGTAATCATTTTTAATAAACTATATTTCAGTTAAATTATTGACTGAAAATCATTTTCTTTGTATATTACTGAAAAGGGGCTGTTATGTTTAAAAATGAAGTGTACAAAACAGAAACAATGGAACTGGCTCTTTATATTGAGAGGTTTTCAATTTGGGGTTTAGATGGGTTGTAATTCAAGTTCCCTGTAATATTTCAGATCCTTTTTTTTTTTTCTGATTTTGGATTTCGTCCTGACTCTTCAGGGATCATTATTTTAATCACAGTCCTCTTTTCTGTCTTAATCTTCTCACATTGGAGGTTCTATGTTAAGTTTTGAAAAGTGTCAGTACAATGCCATTTAAGATACTGAAGTGGATAGACAGAACTGTTGTAGCACTTAGCAAGCTTGGAATGTTTATTTCTATTTTCCAGGTTTGTATAAATTTGGGACTGGTATACAAAGTACAGCAGCACAATGGAGTTATCTTTCAGTTTATAGCATACATCAAACGGAGACAAAGAACGGTTCCTGAAATCCTTGCAGCTGGAGGCAGATATGATCACCTGGTACATCCTTAACTTTGTGTTTTTTAAATTATATATATTTTTTATATCTTTCTAAAAGAACTATTTCTTGTCTGCTCAGATTCCACAGTTTCGAGGGCCACAAACACTAGGACCAGTTCCTTCTGCTGTTGGAGTCAGTATAGCGATCGATAAAATTACCACTGCTGTTTCCAGCATGGAGGACCCTGTAAGTTTCAGCTCCTGCTTTACCTTTTTTTTATTATTATTCCTGAGATTTCAGTAATTCCATATGAAGCCAAAGACAGACAAGAAATATTGAGAGTCTGATAGGTCCTAAAGTAATTCCGTATTAAAATAGCAAACAGAAATCATTAGGCAGTAGACTTCCTGTTACTTCCTTTTTATGTAGATATTTTAACATTCCAGTGAGAACTGGAAACATTCATCAGAAAACTGAAGTATAGAAGCTAGTTCTTTAATGGCATAAAATACCTTTTGATGTCTATTTAATGATTCAGATCTCAAAGAGAGAAATGTTTGCACCCAAAAGATTGCAAAGAATTTTTCTAACTGTTTTAGTTGGTCTAATAAAAGATATCAGATTTACCCAAAAAACCTAGCTAGAACCACCATGCCTTTCTCTCACTCTTGCTTCACACAAGTTCAAAGAATTACAGTCTCCCTTTTAATGAACTTTATTTACTCAAATATAAGATGACCACCTAATAATTAGATTTTATATAAGGAAAACGTATCAATTTGTTATGCAGCAGTGTCAGTCAGCACTGCTGATTGTCCAGGCAGGGGAAGGAGTTTCAATGTGCTCTCCAGCAATAGTCTAACAACTTGCTCATGTGTGCCTTACTCTCAGGTTACTGTTAGCTCCTGTGATTTGTTGGTTGTAAGTGTTGGACAGATGTCAGTGGGGAGAGCCATTAACATTGTTCAGAAACTCTGGACTGCAGGAATTTCAGCTGAAATCATGTACGACTGGTCCCAGGTAAGGCTTCTGTCTACCTATTGGTTACCTGCATATTATTTTTACTAGGGCTGGTATTATTGAGGTTCCCCATTAGAGGTTGTGTAATTATAAAATGTTAATATTGAGCATGTGTAGCTTACAATTCAAATATCAATGAATGTTTTCATTGCCCTTGTAGTACTGAAGGTATGATCCAAAGTCCATTGACATCAATGGAAAAATTCCTGTTGAATTCAGTTCTGGACCATTCTTTGAATCTGTGGCCCAGTGGAAGGAAAACCTAGGTCTCTTTGGGTGCCTATACATGAGTGCCAAGGCTGCTGTGATGCACTGGAATTCCAGTGTGTCAGAGCAGGCTTGATTAATCCAGCTTACTGGAGTGTGGCAGTTGCCACACTTCCCCAGCCTCCTGTACCTTGTGTATCAGCATCCCCAAATTTAAAAATGGCAGTGGGGATGCTTGAACTAAAGCTTGTTGAGGGAGCTTTAATTCAAGCGCCCCTGCCACCATTTTTAAGTGCAGGGACACTGGTGCAGGAGACGCGATGGCACTTTAATTAGAGTGGCTCTAGGAGCCGCTCTTTTATTTAAAGTGTGTGGGGACATATGTTTAAATGGAAGTGAAGGTAATAACTACATTCTGCTGCTTAATGACATGATTAAATTAATTGGAGCCACTCTAGGAGCTGCTCTAATTAAAATGCTGCTCCCCCCCACCTGGCCCAGAGCATGTGTAAAAGTGCCCTCTGTTCCAAGTCCAGTGCTATATCCACTAGATTACATTGTCTTCTTGGAATGAGACAGGTAATGCTAATAATTGTATTTATGAAGAGCCCAAGGTTCTTGAGATGCTCTAAACTTTGGATAAATGCTTTACCAATTATCATAAACAGTATGGTGTTTGAGTGGAAAGGGATCAGAGTTAAGGATATGTTCCATATCCCAGGGACCACCATAGCTGTATTATACAGTATAACCTCATGAATCTGGCATGCTCAGGACCTGCCGGAAATTTGAAGACTCCAGATTTTTTTAAACCAGAGCAGTGATCAGTCCCAGAGCAGGGGCGGGGGGAGGATAGGAGTAGCAGTGACTGCACACAGAAAGGCGGTGTGGGGTGGCGGATGACGGCAGCAGCCACCGCGTGCAAGCTTCCCCCTCTGCTGCTCTGGGACTGGCTGCAGCTACTCCCCGATGTAGTGTAGTTTTAAAAAGTGCCAGATTTTTGAGAATTACGGATATCTGATATCTAGATTTATGAGGTTATACTGTACCTGGAACTACTGAGCAGTGTAATTGAATTATTGCTCTGATAAACAATACTGCTAGAATTGTTGCAGCTACATTAACCTTTAGGCATATCCTGGTATTTAAAGGCTTGAGTCCTTGTTCCCTTGCAACCCACTGAAATCCAGCAGATAAATGTGTAGCCTAGATAATTGGATTGTGGGACAACAAAGTACTTGAACACCTTACGCTTCTCAGGCAAATTTTAGATATTTGCAACCACTACTCAGTTGGGTAATTGGTAAATGACAAAGGAAATATCACGGCATCTTCTTTTTTATCATGTTTGACTTATTCCTTCACCAGCTCACAACAGGGTTTTTGAGGCACTTAACTGCCTTGAGGTGACTGTATTATCTTAGCATTCTCTTCATTTTTTCTAGTTTTCCTCACATTTGGCCATATGCTGGAAAAATGTGAGTGTAATTTGGGGCTAATTCCCTTTTAGTCTTGTGGGTTTTTTTGTTTGTTTGATTTTGTCTGATTTTGTTTTTCTATGTCCAGGTTGCTTTCCTCTTTGTGAAGCTGTTCACAGAGTGTTGGCCTGTTTTTCTTTTGTTTTTAATCTGGCTATAGCTATGCAGACCTAGAATAGCTAAGCTATGCAGTATCATGTAACTGGAGAATGGCTGTACTCTTATTCTGGTATAGCAAGAATTGGCCCTGACTCTGCTTCGAAAATCTCACAGGAAAACCCCAAGCCTGCATGAAGCCTGACTAATCAGTGAAGCACTGGGCAGTGCTCTACCCTACCCATGTAGTTTGCAGGCAGGACGTGGGGCTGTCTCACAGAGAAAGCTACATCACAACAACAGATCATCAAAAATACATCATTGCTTACAGATGCAAATATTAAGCTTTTGCTGCTTAATCTTGCTGAATCCTATCCTAGTGGGTCAAATCAGGGTGATCCTATAGATGCCCTGTAAGAGTGAGCAGCAGAAAAGTGTTCTTCCTGGACTAATGTATAAAGTTTTCTCCTGCACAGAAAAGAACAGATCAACTAATTATAGACATTTCCTTTCAACTTAATTGAAAGGAGAATGCTCTGGTTTTCCATATATTCATTTAACAATTCTGTCCTCCTAATTTACCAGTTCTCTTTCTTTCTTTTAGTCGCAAGAGGAATTGCAGGAATATTGCAGATATTCTGGAATTACATATGCAGCTCTTGTCTCTGATAAAGAAGGAAATCATGTAAAGGTAAAAGTTGGGGCAAGGGAGTTTTTTTTTGTAAATGAATAATCTGCTCTTCTGAATCTTTCTCTTAAAGCTAATAGTGTACCATATTTTCTGGAAATTGAATTCTTAACAGTTGAATAACAGATTATTGATAAGTATGAGTTTGAGTAACTAACAAGCATACAATTACTCTGAAAAATGAATAGTAGATACACGGCAGACCCGTCTTTTTAGCTTTTGTCCAACTGTCTATATCTTCCAGGAAAAACAATTTCATAACTTTTAATCACAAATCACATAACTTTTCATTATAAATGAAAAATTATGGAAGTTGAGTTTCATTTAAAGTGCGTGGGGGCATATGTTTAAATGGAAATGAAGGTAGTAACTACATTCTGCCACCACCTAATAGCTGCTTAATGACATTATTAAATGAATTGGTGGTCTCAGTCTGTTTTTAAGATGACAGATGTCTACATCCCAACATAAATACCACCAAAATTGACAGCTGATAAGGCTTCAATAGACATGGATACCAAACTGTGTTATGTCTCTCCAGGTCAGGGCTGATGTGCAGAGGTCTGGTGTTGGGAAAGCTTTAATTGCCACGGTCTACACTGTATCTGTTAATCATTGGTGCCAACAGTTCTCAGCAAGTCTGGTACTTTTCATAAGCCCTAAAAATTTACAGTATTTTAAAAAAATAAAATATTGAAATGATGATAAAATATCACTGATTCTGAGTCATTGCCGTTGTTACTGTCTTTGTCTTAATGAAAAACTCTTAATTTGTTAAAGTCATTTGACAGTGCATGATTGTGTGACATAGCTAATATGCAGTATTAAAATGTTTCACTTATTTGTTATTTCTAGCAAAATATCTTTATGAACAGATTGATCTTGATAATTATTTGATCAAAAAGTGATAGAAAGATACATGCATGCATGATTTTTTTAAAAATGAGTGCTCTATCAGAGAAAAAATAAAGATACTATGGTAGTGTATGTTAAATGGTATCCTTGTTCTCTGGTTTAATTGTTCATCTCCAAATAAATAAAAACTAGGAAAATACATGTAAATTTTGAAATTTGGAAGTCACCTCTGCAAATTTAGTGAAAGGCAGCTACATTCCAAATGTAATTATTTTTAATGAAATAGTTTAATGAATGCAGTATACTCACCTGTGTACCAATCAATCCTAAACTGACTATTGCATATTAACAAAGGCAAATGGCCAAGCTTAAGCAGTGGAAATGCAACGGAAATTATTACTAGTTGGGTGGCAAAAATCTAATCAAGCAAACCGGAGGATTTAATTAACTAGTGATCATAGGAAGTGAGTCTCTGTCCACCTGATTATTTCATCCTTAGTAGGCGATGGATCTAGTAAGACTTTTTTTTTTCTTTCTCTCCTATTTTCCAAAGTATATTTACTTTATCTTGTAAGTAATATCAATCTATGTATCCTTGAAACATTTAAATTAATCTTTTGTAGGTGAAATCATTTGAAAAGGAAAGGCAGACAGAGAAAAGGATTTTAGAATCTGATTTAGTAGAACACCTGGCCCAGAAACTGAAGACCAAAGTCTCTGATGAAAGAAATAACAGGTAGGAGCATAAAAAGTGAATGCAACCAGTTAAAATTAGAAATGTTTTCATAAACTGAATTAAGTTTTCAATATGGCATTTTAAAGGAGCTCTCCATGAGATTATTTTCAATAAAAATTACCATTGAGAAAGTACTGCCTAATTCCTTCTTAGGGTGGGTAGTGGGATTTGTATTATTCCTGTCATAAGACTCTCCAGAAGGATATTTATTTTCACTAGCAACTAAGACATTTTGAAGCAAAATTAATATGCCTTAAGTATTTAAGGCCAAGTTTTTATCTGAGGTAAATTGTTCTAATGTTGCATGTTAAAACACCTGCCTGGACAGGTGCTGTTCTAATTTATGCTGTAATTCTAGGAAAGCCCTTTATATGAAAGAAAAAGTGTAGTTAGAAATACTTGACATTAAAATTCCAAGTATGACAATATGGGCTGTTGTCTAAATAGCTAGGATGCAGGAATTTCTTTGTAGTGCAGAGGAAATGTAAGCATTGTTGTTTATTCTGTTGTCTGCTAGCTCATAGCACTTAGCGTAGACAAGTTTTTAGGAACAAATGCAGGTGTTATAGGGCTTGTTAACTAATAAAAAATGCAGAATTTAGTTTGCAAATATGTGCCTAAAATCTCCTTTGTATTTTAAGTTTGTTCATGTTTATTCCACTGTACTGCTTTTAGATTGCATCTGTTTTTTTAACTCATTTTTTATTTGCTCGCTTTTAGGGAAACTTCAGATAATCTCTCAATACAAAATTTAAAGGGATCATTTTCTAACACTTCAGGTATACAGTTATTGATTATTTAGAAACATCAACCATGGTCAGTTCTAATACTCTTTACATTTAAAGAATTTGGTATTATATATTTTTAATATACACTATAAGAAACATAATAAAACAAAAATGTCTTTTTTCTTTTTACCAATTGTTACGTAGCTAAAGGCACTTCTCAGGGTGGTGTATAATATGTTGGTGTGTTAAAAAAAAAAGATTACATTTTGAAACATTTACATTGTAGGTTTATTTGAAATGCATGGAACTTCTGTAGTTCCAACTGTGAGCATTATAGCACCTGAGAAATTGTCTGCTAGTGCCAGACGACGTCAAGAAATTCAGGTAAATGCAGGTGCTTTCTTTTTCCTCTTTCATTTCTGGCTTGAAATTTGTTTAAAAACCCAATTGGATGATTACTTACGAAAACCTCTGCCAAATGGACATTAAGTTTTCAAATCAAGCACTCCAAAGTTAGGAAATACTTGACATTACATTTCCTCCTGTAGCCTTAATTAAATGATCACAAACTTTCTTTTTTGGGATCCATGCCTCACTCAGGATGAACAGTGCATAAGGCAGAGGGTTACAAGAAGGAGAAAACGGATGTGTCTGCATTGGAGAAGGACCAAACAAATAGGTTCCCAGTTGTTTCGATCTCTTTGTAATATGGAGCTGGGTTGTCATAATGCATGTACCCAAGGAAGCTCAGTTAAGATTGAAGAACCTTAATCTTAGCATTTTCTAACTTTTTTGAGTGTCCAAAATAATTTAGCTTACAAGTTCAACATACATTTTGTACAAAATGTATATCCAGGGCCCTCAAACATGTGTCCCTGTAGTTTAGTATTTCATTCACTCTCTTAAACTACCAGGCATAAGAAAACAATTTCCCACACACTGTATATAAGCAGTTCCTTTTTTATTAAAATAAAATGTGTAGTGTTGTAATGATAGAGCAGTGATTGTCACCCAAGGTGCTGTGGCATTTCATGTGCATTTCATGCCACCATGCAGTTTGCCCCAGGAGACAGCAGTGCTATGGGGCCACATGCACAAAGTGGTCAGTTTCCTGTGCTCCCACATCGACTAACTTCTTGCAGTTGTGTATGGACCATAGTGCATTGTGGGACTGTTTTTCTGTGCCATCACAACTGCAAGAGCATCTTCTCATAACCTTGTAAAAGACAGTATCCACTTAACCACATAAACAAAAAGATAGACTATCCAGGGAAACTCACAACCTTGTGTGCCAAGTCTTGTTAGACCAGTGTCATCTAGTCCTCTCCTAACACATACTCACATTTGGATGGCAAAAATATTCTATGGAGCATGAGACCTACACTTGCATTCCTGAGAGCCATAAAAGATTTCAGTGTCACATTTACCACATAGCACAAGGATCAGCAATCTATGGCCCATTGGAGCCACTGGATCCAGCCTGTAGAGTGGGGGCTTCAGCAGCACAGTGCTTTGCCTGCACCATGCTGCATCATGGCCAGGTGGCAGAGAGAAACAGCAGCCCATGGGCCTTACTGCAACTCTGCTTTGGACCTAAGCTGAATCATATCAAACTTCTAAGCAAAAATTATACTTTGTTTTCTTTAGTCTGTAAGACAGTGGTATAACAAATCCAGTAGCTGGTAGTTAACGCTTACCAAGTTCAAACTAAAAATACTGTGCAGATTGTTAGTAGTGAAAGTAATTAACTTTTTGACCAACTCACTGTGAGTGTACATGTTAGGACTGGATTGTATTTCCAAAACATCTGCTCTAGTTCAAGCAAGAATTAATCCAGGGAAGTCCTTAGGTCCATAACCTATAGCAGGTTAGAGGATATTATTGCAATGGCCTTATAATCTGTGAATCAGTCATATAGAAAACAGAATTCCTCCAACATCAGTGTTTAACAGGAGACCTTTGTCTACTACTTTTACCCACTAAAATATTAAACTTAACTTGCAGGTGCAAACAAGACTGCAGACGTTCATCACTAACTTGCAACAGAAAATAAGCGAGATTGAAATTCTGGCAGTAAGTCATTTTGCTAAGACATAAAAATAAAAACAGTACATCACTAGTTTTGTGGCAGGTTTGATACTGAGATCAGCATTGTTAGTTGCTGGTGACAGCTGCCAAGCTAGCAGGAATCTTATGCTTGAAGTTTTTTAACAGTCTTATGCTATTGTGATGAAAGGCTTCTCGTGGTAAAATGAAATCTGTGTAATACATAGTTAACTCTCTGAGAAGTGTTTTCCCAGTGGGTAGTTGGGTCTCCTGTATACAGCAAAATGTCTACATTTTAACTATTTAATCGCTGCTAACTGTGTGATGTAGAGTTGCACTGTTCCACCCAGCACCCCGGTGCCAGTGAATTTAATATAATTTGTTGCTGCCACAACTTGCTGTTACCTTATCGCTTAGAGGGCACTGTTTCTCCTAGGCAGACAAGGTTGTTTGGGTGAATATGATATCCTTTACTAGACCAACTTAAATAGTTGGAAAAAAAAATTTTAGCAAGCTTTCGGGTTTAAAAACCGTTAGGCTGAGGAAGTCTGCAGTTGGTGTGTGCTCTTCCTGGATGGAATGAAAAGTTAAGCAGCCAGAGGCTGGGCTAATAGGCATGTAAGATAGGCGATCAGTGAAGATGTAAATTGAGGTGTCAGTGGGTGAGAGACAGTCTGGGTGGGGGTGAGAAGGGGGATGAATGTAGCAGTTAAATAGTGGAGAGGTACCTGGGTAGTCAGATGTCAGGCAGGTTATTATGTGTCATAAAGCTTGCTAAAAAAAAAATTTCCAACTATTTAAGTTGGTCTAATAAAAAACATCATATTCACCCAAAGATCCTTGTCTGCCTATGTCCTGAGACCAACACGGCTACAACCTACATCCCCGTTTCTCCTAGACCTTCTGAGAAATGGTGCATCTTTCCTATATTTCTTTTATAAATAAGCAAGTTGGCCTCTGATAATAAGGTGACTTTCCAAATGCACAGTGAGATTTGCCATGCAGAATTTGTTGTTCCTAAATGTTTAAAATTCTGGTAACATCTCATTTTGTTAGCATCACTATCTGATAAGTTAGATATTGAAGTTACTGATTCCTGAAGCACTGAGATCTGCAGTAGAAGTGGTCAGGGGTGATCCAGGAAGTAGCTGTGCCTGTGCTACTATGTGGATTTCCCATGCTTCTGAGCTTTACTGGTTGCCACGTGGGCCAGGAAGGACTTTTTTTGCCTTACTGTTTTCCCTTGCATGTTAGGGTGGGTTTTTTTAGGTTTTGGTTTGTTGTTTTTTTTGGGGGGGGGGGGTTTACCTTCTTCAGAAAGATTGGGTATTGGCTGGGACTAACACAAAGAGATTAAGGCTGTGCAAAATGGAAGTGTTGCGTTTCGACCAGCGTTTCGACAGAACAGCAGTCCGTTTCGAATTTTGTTTTGATTCCAAACGGCTGTTCCATTCTGTTCTGTCGAAACAACAGTTTCGCTTTTCGAGCCTGTTTCGACGTTTTGCCCATAATGGGGAAGGTCAAAACAGCCTATAACTTTGTCATTTCTGGCCTGATTTCAATGAAACCTGCAGGAATGGCAGCCCCTTCTGAGGGCATGAAGCCTGCCAAGTCTCAAGGAGATAGGTGCAGGGGAAACTGCACCCCAAAGTCTTGAAAGCAAAACTCCTGTCACTTGTATGTGTTAAGTCCCAGTGGGGTCAAAACTGCAGACCTGTGAGCCCCTGCTGAGGCCACAAAGCCTGCCAAGTTTCAGGGGGTTTGGGAAAACAGCACCTCAAGCTGTGGACAAGCAAAACTCGTGACATGGGTGACACTGTGTGTGTTAAGACACAGCAGGGTGAAAGCTGCAGGCCTGCCAAACCCTGCTGCAGCCATGAAGCCTGTCAGCTGTTAAGGAGATAGGTGTAGGGGGACTGTGTTCTGGGGCCCTGCACCTCTGGCTACAGGCAGGCAAAACTCGTGACATGGATGGATGACACTGTGTGTGTGTTCAGGTGCACCCTTCCTGGCACTGGAGCCTCTGCACAACATGGCAGTGTGCCCCAGTGAGGACTCCTCCTCCCCTACAGCCTTTGCGCAGTCCACCACTGTAAACAATGGTAGGTGAAAATAACTTAGCTGGCTCAACACCAGTAGCACCAGCAGCATCTAAGGTAGCCCAACAGAACTGTCAGGCCCTTCTTTCCTCTCAAGTAGGAACATCTAGTGCGTGTCTGTTAGGTGCGCCCTCAGAGAGAGTGTGCGTGTGTTCAGGTGCAGCCTTCCTGGTGCTGGGGCCTCTGCACAACACGGTAGCGTGCCCCAGTGAGGCTGCCTCCTCCCTTCTAGTCCACCACTGTAAACAGCGGCTGGTGAAAATAACGTAGGTGACTCAGCAGTTGGCACCAGCAGCATCTAAGGTAGCCAAACAGAAACGTCACAGAGTCTTTCTTGTTATAAAGGACTTGACAGCAAGAACTAAAGATGTTGTGTTGGATATATGTTACTTGTGGTGTGTGTGATGGCTTATCTTGTGTTTTTATGTTTATATGTTTGCTATGAAAAAAACAGAATAGTTAGAGAAGTATATCTTAGGAAGCTTTCAGGTTGAAAAACCCTTTGTCAGGCTGAGGAAGTACCTGCAGTTGGTGCGTCTCCTGGTCCTGGATGGAAGGAATAGTAAAGAAGCCAGAGGCTGGGCTGGCACGCAATGCAGGCAGGAAAGCTGGTCAATGGAAATGGAAGTGTCAGGGGGTGAGGGACAAGCGGGGGGGGCGGGGATGTAGCAGCACAAGCAAAAGTGCAGAGGAACCTGGGAAGTCAGATGTCTGGCAGGTAGTGTCAGAATTTCACTGCCTATATATATTGAGTCTATGAGTTTCTGTACCTATGAGGCTGAAAAAGTGAAGTTCATAGGCCTGGCTATGAAAAGTGGTTTGTAATTTGTTCCCTCTCAGAATCATGCCTGAGAGACTGGAGGCAGAGTGGTTTTTTGGTGAGGAATGTGTCCCCACAGGTAGTTGGGTATTGTCTTTGATAGATTCTGGTGTGCAATTTGTGGGGATACTGGAGATGGCAGGTTTTGTGCTTTGAGCTGTAGGAAGTTGGGCTGGGGTGGAGAGGGTTGGGGAAAGGGGGAAGTAGCAACACAGGTAAAATTGCAGGGGTACCTGGGGTGTCAGATGTCCAGCAAGTCACAGCGTGCCAGAATTCCACTGTGTATGTTGAGTCCATGAGTTTCTGTACCTATTACCTACAAGGCTGATGAAGTGCTGTTCATAGGCCCAGCTCTGAAAAGTGGTTTGTACATTCAAACAAGCACCTAACCTCATCACCAAAACTGAAGCCAGAGCTGAATAGCTGCCACTCACTCTTTGCGCTG